CTACCTACATACCTAGTTTATTACTATTCTATGTGCGTGTTTCCATGTGAGTGTGTGTATAGGCATGTGACTCCCAGTACATGTGTGTTTTGCTTATGCATATGTGTGTTGACTGATACACACATTTCTATGTTTGCATACTGTTTGAGATACAGTAAGCCCACTTCATTTTTCCCCAGTGTTTACTGACATATACTGGACAGGCGTCAGTGAGCAGCACAGGCTTCATTATCCCACACTGTTACAGGCAAACACAGATCACTGGGCATGCACGGCCAACCACACGCTCAGCGGCGCCATCCCGCAGGGATATTTAGAAGTGTGTGTGAATACAGGGAATTTATATATTTCTGAATTTTGAAGCCTGACCTTATGCAGCATTACAATACCTCCCTCAATCTGAAATAAACACTGCAGACACACCCTGGTGATAAAATTCACTGTTCATTTCCAGGAAACAAAGTTGTTGGTGGAGATAATGCCAAACTGACCATCCACTTTGTCATGTTAGGTTATGAGCTGATTACTTCATGATCACAGTGTCTTTGAGAAGGGAAGAATTGTGAGGAGAGACAGCTGTAGTCACTCACACCACTCATCATACATCTCAATGACAGACACATTCACGGTAGTTTTCTTACTACAAAACTTGAATTTATGGGCCCTATTCAAGTGTTATTGATTATATTTAGTATTAATTCGAGTTGGGGTCAGGGCCCCATGCTGCTGTCAGCTGGATTCACAACATGCCAACACACTCTGACTCACTCACCCTGTCCTCTTCCTCTCTGAGGTCTGGCATGGTGCTGATACACAGGCTGACAACAGTCACAGCAACCATGATCACGGACAAGCAGGCGAAGATCTTCCCCGGTAAGCCTGATTGCGGATTCTCGATCGTATCTCTAAGCCAGTTCATCACTGTTCGGTATTTTGTCTCTTCCACCGTCACCCGTTGCATGGCATTCCTCTGCCTGTGCTCCTCCTCGCGCCGCTCCTGCTCATGTACCTCCTCGAGGTGTGTGTACATCTTCCTCTTACAGCAGCGCTCCATGTATGCCATCTCTACACCCCAGTAGGTCAGCTCATCATGCAGGGAGAGGACACACATCTCCCGCAGCAGGCGCAGTTTCCCTGCAGCCAGGAAGTTGAGGATGACCCTGAAGGCGGATGGTGAGCGGTCAAAGAAGAACTCTTTGCGGGCTTCATCATAGTCGTCGCAGACGCTGGCAATGTCCTCAGGTGACCGGCAGCCACATAGTCGCCCAAGTCGGGTGAGGGGAAATTGCTCTAAGGTGCTCCAGGGGAAGGTGTAGCGGTTTCCCCCAACGTTGATTACCGCTAGCAGGCCGTGGTCAATGGACACCAGGTCCTCTGGCCGGTGGATGAACTGAGCCCTCTGGTAGTACACACCCTGTAGCATGACATATGAAACGCTTCAATGCATGAGCAGCTGCATGAGACATATTTTTGACTAGTTACCCACAACAAAATCAGTCAGTTATGTGATTTAATCATTTTATTCATTTATATTTTTTATTTTACTTTAGTGATGATCTGTTTCATACCTTAATGGTCTCTGTTTCCGGGATCTCAGTAAAGATTCGGTCAATACTGCTGTCATCACTGATGGACAGATTGCTGAAGTCATGGTTGGCATTGCTGATGATGGGCATGGCAGCATCTGGAAAACACACTGCTCTGGACTGGGCAGCTTAGATCGGGTAATGATGGTAGAAAAAGACATGCACCAGGCTCAACTTTTTTAGTCTGAGGGCACAGCAGTCTTTTCCTTAACTTTCCATAATCTTTCCTGCCCCTGCTCAGGTTTACTGTAGATGAGCTGAGCAAAAAAAAAACGGCTGTAGTTTTCAGTCTTTTTGGAAACAGGGCCCCTGAAAACAATGACTTTTTCCAAATGGCAGATGAGCTATGGCTTTGGCTTCCAATCCACAGAGCAAAAACCAAGAAAGGAAAATGAAGAATGTCAGGAAACCTGTTGTCACATTTGAATATGTGTGTCTTTTGACGTTGCCATCAGAGGTCCAAAATTGACTCAGCTGGTGTAATAGGATTCAGCATCAGATTACTGGGTAATCCCAGTTTGAAGTAAGAGTATGGAAAAGGAAAGCTTGAATTTAGAGGCTGGGTTAGGATTGATCAGTGGCTGATAGCTGCAGGGGAGGGGCTGGATGAGTCACAGAGCCAAATGTGTAGTGCTGAGGTGTCCGGGGACTGAGGGGGATCTCTGTGTCACTGCAGCAGGGTTAGGGAAGGCCTAGACACATGGTGGCCTCGTGCAGGCACTGAAAGAGACAGACAACAATGGGCAAATAATTAGAAAAACTGATGAGGTGAAAAAGGTGAAGAAGATGCTAAAAGCACACCTCGATCAGTCTGCAGTGCTGTAGGATCCACCCCCCTCTTTCACTTCCTTTCAGTGAGAAACAAGACAGACACACCAGCTCTGCTGCTATAAATGGGCAGTCACTGTGGTCAGTGCTGGACTTGAACAGATAGCAAAGGAATTTGCAGTAATCAAATCCCATTGAGGTTGTTCTAGCTGGTTTACTTGGCACAGCTGCTAGAACTTTTAAGGAATAGCAGTAAAAAAGAACATTCAGGTTGTGCAGCGTTATTCACACATAGTCAGTTATTGGCTGTCGTAGATGGGCAGCAAGCCTAGCAACAGACACTAAAACACAGGGTCCAAAATGTTTTTCTTGGTAATACTTATTGGCACTATTACTTGTTACAGTTGCCCAGAATGGCTCGCTGTGCATCAAAGCCTTAAATATGGTAGTTTTAGCTAATTTCAGATAAGATCTGATTATCACATTATCATTTGTTAACAGTGACTAACTTACAGCTCATCTATTTTCATATCATGCCCCATACATGAAGACTGGCAGCTAACAAAAGGTGGATACCAAAAAGACCTTTTCCAGGGCCAACATTATTTGACTTTTTTGACACTCTTCTCCTGCCAGCTTTTGTTGTGAATAAAATGTTACAGCCTTTTTACACACACCACAGCACAATGGTACTGTAAGCCAGCATTTCTAAGGACAAATCCCTACTTCTCCACCTACTGTAGACGTGAGTACCCTTTGCACAAATACAATACTCATCTGTCACTGACTGGTCGTGACTCACAGCCCTGACAATGAGCACAGCACGGTGTCCTGTAAGACTAATCCAGACCTGTGAGTTTGTCAGCTCTATGTGAACACTGCTCATTAAAAGAAGAATGTTATCAACAGTTGTTGTATTGTTCAGTATCCGTCTTCAATACTCACAGGCTTATTGAATGTTTGGCTGGTTAGTGCTGACAGTTTGAAGCATTTGGCAACACCAACATGTATGTGTCTGTAATTCAGAACCAGGATGACAGGATATACTGTAATGGAGGCACCAATAAATAACTTCTGTCACTATGCAGGTGTTTCATTCTCATCTCACACAGGAAGGAGAGCATGATAAACTATTTATTAATTGATTTTTATTCCCTGTGAACTTTTTCAAGTGGAAGGTGTTGGAAGCAGCATACTGGTGTTATCAGCTTTGCCCAGCCTCATTTGGTTCTAATCTCCACTGGACACAAAGGACAGGCAATAGAGGAAGAATGTCAGAGGTAACACAGCTTGTTCTCTTTTTAGGCCAAGTTTAATTACATGTGAAGGTTGGTATTTTTGAAAGATGAGTTTATTTTAAACACATTGAGTGTACTACCGAACCAAATCAAACTTATTTGAAAGTTGTACATGATATAAAAATAAATCAATACTTTCTCTTAATTTAATTTTGTGATATTGTCTTTTTTCTACGACTTTTTAATGTTGAGGTCATTCAGCATTCAGTTAGAGAGCTTATAGTATATTTATAGGTGGAGAGACCAGCCTCTCATACGGATCAGGACGTTTGAATGCGCCGTAGGAACACTCTCTCGCTAAGGCGCGCACTTCATGGGAACCGCGGAACAACTTTGAACTAGACATTTATTAAATTCGGTTAAACTGTGCGTTTTATTAAGACATCTTAACAGTAATGTGTTTTGATCATATTAGGAAAGTGCAAAGGAACGCGTAAGTGAAACTCAAACGACGGGGTATTTTACATTGCTTACAATTAATTCAATCTGCTAATTTGCTTTCAAATTCCGGATGCACCTACCTCTAAATCAAATAGTCAGGGTGTCATAGTTTCTTTTATCCTACATTGCACGTTGAGGAGGTGAAAGTAGTGTGACAGCACATTGTAACTTCAGACAAATACGAAGCTTCAAACACACACCCCCCGCAGAAATTAGTACAACTTATGAGGCGCAGCTTACCACCCTGAGCTCCGCGCTCCCAAGACGTCCAAACCAGCTCCGTGTGAAACCCCCGTGTCGCCTCGCAGCTCCTCTGGATCATTCAACCCCAAATCAGAGTCACCGACCCGCTGCGTTATCATACCGGCAGGGATACCTCTCTGGCAGCCGCATCATCCAACCCGGTGGATGGCGCGCAGACAGTCTGAACATACCAGAGATGGGAGAGCAGAGGTTTCTTACGCCGAAAGTGTCCCGTTACAGCTCTTGTTAGTGGTGCTGCAGGAGGAGGAGCAGGGGAGGGGGAGTCGGAGCTGTGGTGCGCATCAGAGGAGACCCCGGCTACCCAAGTTCAAGTTTGTGTAAAGGTGACGTGAGGCGCAGTGGTGATCGGGAGTGTGCCGGATCCCGATAAGAGAAAGGAGGCATTTGAACAGAACTGCAGGGGACGCGTGGCTCCTCGTGTCCTCTAGCTTTGCTTTTTAAATTATATGAATTCCAAGGACACTGGAGGAGATGCTCTCAACCATGTATTCCAGCCTGATCACTTCGCTCGCCACAGGGGGCGTGTTTCCCTCTCAAATTACCTTCACTAAAGGTTGGGTATAAATCTGCAGTGAAGCACAAACTCATACAGTTTGAGTTTGACATCATAACACTGTCGAAATTCACAGTCACGTCAAGAAAACGAAAGAAAAATAGTGAAACCGTGACATTAAAGAAATCACCAGGATATTATCACTGAGCAAAAATCCATGTGTCCAGTTAAGATGTGATATTTTGAAACTCAATAAAAATAGTGAAACCGTGACATTAAAGAAATCACCAGGATATTATCATTGAGCAAAAATTCATTTAAGATCTGATATTTTGAAACTCAATGGTAACTTGTGTCAGTCTGGGTGAACAGAAAAAGATTTTGTTCAGTGTCCTATCTGAATGATACAGAATCCAAAATGAGACCAGTTTTCTTTTTTGTTGTCATTTTTACGTTCTGATAAAAAATAGAAATATGTGTGAATATATGAACGATGCACCAACAGCTGCTCACAAGTGAAACATTTAAATTAGTCAGTCACTTGGAGCTAGTAGATTAAGTACAATTCATGAGGAACTTCTCCACATAAATGTTATTTGAACATATATCAACACTTACAGTGTCAGTGTCAACATCAGTTTATGTACACGGTGCTTTACATACTAAAATAGAATCAGACAATCAGACATATCACATAAGGTAAAACTATAACATAAAATACAAACATAAAAAGACAAGTAAAACAATAAAAAAGACAACTAGATTTACTCAAAAGCATGAGAGAACAGCAGTGTTTTGAGTTCAGCCTAATGTAGCCAGATGAGGGACTCTTGTTAACTCCATGCGGAGCAGTTTGTTCTACCTCTGCGCAGCATAATAGCTGAACACAGCTCCTCCCTGTTTAGTCCTGACCTGAAATTAAATGAGCTGGTAGTTTTCAGCTGATCTAAGGGCTCTGCTTGGTTGGTGTTTTTTAAGGAGGTCAGAGATATAGTTTGGTGCCAGACCATTAAGAGATTTTTAAACTAACAAAAAGACTTCATAATCTGTTTGACAGGAAACTTGCAGCCATTGCAGTGACTTCAGTACTGGGGTGATGTGTTCAGTCCTTTTAGTTCTAGTTAAAACTCTAGCAGCATTGCTCAGGAGAAGCTGCAGTTGCAATAGTCGAGTCAACTGGTGATGAAAGCATATTCTTCTTTTACAATTAAATTCATGTTATGCAAAATATTGATCTTGTAATTTCATGAGGGACTGGGCAAATGTTTGCCATGACACAGTAATAAAACCACAAACATTTTGAATGCCACATAAAAGAGAGATCTCTGTACAAAGTAGGTAGGGAGGTCATATATCTACAGTGACACTGAACAGCTGGCCAAACCTCTGACTCTGTAGCCTAAACACACCTCAGTGCTCAGTCCTACATTGAAAACTCTATTCCAAATTAGTGCATGGATCAGGTCACATATTTTTATTCAAACTCCACCCAGACCCAACTAGCTTATGGTATTAATGTATGTACCTGACCTGAGCAGTTGCGTTTTTATGGTGGTTTTTCCTCCTTATGATTAAACGAAGCAAACATTTAATGCGCTCCAGCCGTCTTAGCCTAAACTTTGACCTATGTGTCTGAACTCAACCTGGACCTAAACATGTTTTCTACATTTCTGTTCAAACCTTCAGATACCAACAGTCCCATCATGCTTGGTTCAGGTATCTGACTTTATTTCAGATCAACACATGTTTACACCAGCCTTTGCACCCACTGACACCAAATTTGTACATTATTCAGAAAAACAAACAAACAAGAAAAAAAAAACATTATGCTTGCAGATTTGTCTGCATCACCGGCCTCACCCACCCTCACTTTATTCTTGAGAGGCAGCTCATTAGGTTCCATGCACCTGAGGGAACTGCTAAAACAAGCAAACACTTTGTCCAGGCCCTTATGGCTGCTAACAGAGCAGACAACACATTAGTGAGGGTAGAGATGGAAAGTGAAGAGGTGGGTGTCTGTGTGTGTGCGTGTTTGTGTGCAGAGAGCAGAAATGTTCAGCTTATTGAATCCCTCCATCACTATACATTAATCTACAGTGCAGCATATGCCCAAGGCTGGTAAGTCTATGGAACATCAGACTGATCACATGCTGTGTCATTAGTTCTCAGGGAGCTTTTTTCATGAAGGAGATGATGTTTCAGTCACAGCCATAATTTTCTTAGAGAGAAAGAAACACTCACACACCAACAGAGAGGAGTGGATTTGGCACAGGTGGTAGATAGGGAACACCCGAGTCCTCCAGCATTAAATCAGCTAACTTGTTTATGTGTTGCACCACCCCCAGTCCCCTCTGTGCTCCCCTGCCTTACTGTTTTGTTATTAATTTTGCTCATACCATTCATTTCACACACACCTCAGTGCATTGCACTAAAAGCCAGCACACACACACACACACACACACACACACACACACACACACAAAAAACATAAAGATAGCTGTAGTCCTGTCAGTACTAATAGCAAGCTTCACTCTGGCAGATTAAGTGTTTAATCCCTCACAGGCAAGAGGGGGCTGAGATGAGATCGCAGCAGCCAGTGACATGCTGGGGTCTGATGGGCAGTGGTGGAAGGTGTGTGCGTGAGAACAGCAATGATTCACTTACCTATTTAGAAACTGTTTGAACACACATTTTCCCACTGATGGCCGCAGGAAGGTCTCACGCCCGGTCTTGTCCAGGTTTTCTACCCTTTTAGCTCAGAACCAACTCTCTTTGCTACTCGTCCTCTGATTTCTTAGTCTTTCTGTGATTCTCTTACAGCATACCACTGCTGGATTTTGTTTGATCTCTGAGGTATCAAGTTTTGATCAGGTTAATTGCTCACTCAGCAGACAGTGTGAAAAGACAGATTACCACTGTTGGATGGAATCATCAGGAAGGAGAATGGGCTAAGAGAATAGAGAAGAAGTAGTGGAAGGCAAAAAGGAATAGTCAGGATAATGGAAAGGAGGAGGTAAAGAAGACCAGTGAAAGCATTTGATAGGGGAAAAGAAAGGGAAATGTTGAAAGGGAATATTGTTCAGAGGGCAGGAAAAGAAAAGGTGAGGAAATGAGTGGAAACAGGAGTGAAATTAAAAGGACAGGACAAGTTGATGGAACACCAGGCTGATACAACAAGACATCAGCTCTCTTTCAATTCTTGTCTCTGTCAACAGAGTTCAGATGATACTGAGATAAATGGGTTCCACATGCTTTTACATGTAGGCACTTTACTTGTTTGAACACACATTTTCCCACTGATGGCCGCAGGAAGGTCTCACGCCCGGTCTTGTCCAGGTTTTCTACCCTTTTAGCTCAGAACCAACTCTCTTTGCTACTCGTCCTCTGATTTCTTAGTCTTTCTGTGATTCTCTTACAGCATACCACTGCTGGATTTTGTTTGATCTCTGAGGTATCAAGTTTTGATCAGGTTAATTGCTCACTCAGCAGACAGTGTGAAAAGACAGATTACCACTGTTGGATGGAATCATCAGGAAGGAGAATGGGCTAAGAGAATAGAGAAGAAGTAGTGGAAGGCAAAAAGGAATAGTCAGGATAATGGAAAGGAGGAGGTAAAGAAGACCAGTGAAAGCATTTGATAGGGGAAAAGAAAGGGAAATGTTGAAAGGGAATATTGTTCAGAGGGCAGGAAAAGAAAAGGTGAGGAAATGAGTGGAAACAGGAGTGAAATTAAAAGGACAGGACAAGTTGATGGAACACCAGGCTGATACAACAAGACATCAGCTCTCTTTCAATTCTTGTCTCTGTCAACAGAGTTCAGATGATACTGAGATAAATGGGTTCCACATGCTTTTACATGTAGGCACTTTACTGTGAATAAATGAGGAAAAGTATGTTTCACTGTGTCTTATTCTAGGACAGGTCATGCTATTGCATGTTATTTATCTGTTGATTTTTAAGATAGAATGTTAAAATATGAGTTGGTGTTGTCTTTAGTACTCCCTTTAGGGCTGCATACCCATGTAACTTTATATATACAGGTTGTTTTTGTAGTTATTTCAGTGTGAATTGAAAGTGAAGGGTGAGTTGTAATGATGAGTTAGTTCCTGGTTTATGTTCAGTATAATCTGATATTCCAAAAGGTAAAGCAATAAAGCGAGGTATAGTGATCCCATCCTTGTACACTGCTGCACTCCCCTAGATCAAGTTTCATATCTGTGCACCCAACCACACCACATCATCCTCCAGGCTCAGGGTTTAGATGGTGTGGCAGGAAGCTTGGAAGCTGATATAAACTAAATGTGCCCTTACAGTGGAGCTTGTTATACACTTCCATCAGGCTGCTGGAATTCAAGGTAAAGAGAATTAAGGTCATTTATTGAAAATGTATTCAAATCAACAAATGTGTCATTCTGACATTTTCAGTCAATACAAGGTAGGGTTCCATCCATGAGTGGTTATGTGCATTTTCAGTTTGCAAAAAGTCCCAATTTAAGCAGTGTTCCAGCATAAGAATATTGTTTGTATTGGACTTAATGGGAACTTAGATTGAAAAGGGTGCATAGACAATGCGCAGAGAGTGG